GGGCTCATATTGGGGGGGTTCCATTGTTTTGGATCCTTTAGGGGGTCTGGGTAGTAGTTATGCGAGCAATAGTAGCACTGGTAGTTAGGGGAATCCTGCACCATACCGTGTACTACTTGACGAGAGGCCGCTGCTTCTCAAGGTTTAGGGTTGAGGCCCGCCTTTTGGGGTTTAAAGGGAGTTGCGGGCTTGAGGTTTAAGGCTTGCAGCACAGGGATTGGAGTTTTACCCTCTTGGAGAAGCGCATCGTGCACGGCCGAGGACTTAAACGTTCAAAATGGAGCAGCGTTCAAATCTAAGCTGGGCCCTTGAAGCCCCAGGAAGAAGACCCTTACCGCGGCAGGTCGTGCTTTCGTCTCAGGCAGGGGCGTCTGGTTTGTGTTGCTTTGGGAAGCAGACTTCGGACCTCCTTGACTGAGTGTTTCAATCCATCTGCGCTACATTAGCAGTGTAGGACATCCCCAACCCTGCTTCAGCGAACCACGCAGGGGAATGGACAATAAAATGGAAACTACTGGATTATGTGAGGTTTAGGCTTTAATTAAGGGTTCTGTAGCCCCAATTATGGAACATCAAATGAAGAAGAAAATGGAAAGCGAAATGGAGCATGGGTTCATGTTGGGCTTTTATAGGGCTTATGTAATGTAAGCACACGACTGTCTGAAGATACAAACCTTGCAAAGTCTACATCCACGCCTTACCCGAGGTCGCCTGTGAATTTATTCAGAACGGGCATATCCGTTGAGAACAAGAGGATGTACCGGGGTTACAAAAGAGTTTCTTGGGGGCCTGAGAATTTCAGAGAAAAAGCTCATCCGACAGTGCACTTTCAAAAGCCAGCAAAATATTCCCGTAGTATCAGTTTGCCAGGGGGGAATGTTCATTTTGGGCAGGATTCCTTATGATCTAAACCCTGCATACTGAGCCCAGAGCATTGCCTACCCCTAGACCCTTAACCCAAAGCCGTAAACCCTAAACCCTCAACCGTAAGCCCTCAACCTAAAATAGACCTTTGAATCCTAAACCCCTAGCCCCTTAAACCCAAACCAGGTGCAAGACTCGCCATAGTTGCTTGCAAAGCCGGAGGGAAGCGTACCACTGGGAAGCGTCCCCCGGCACCTGGCTCTACTCTCTTTGTACATGTGGGTGGTTGTCAAAATTATGGTCCCTTTTTGGATCCCTAGAATAATACGCACCTAATATTTATGGTACCCAAAAAGGGATCATAATTTTGGCATCCACCCATGTGTTTTCTTGTTTTCTTCGGGTTTAGGGTTTTGGGGTTTGGGGTTGGTAGGGAATAAGGGGATATGGTATATGAATGTATATGAGCTTTAGTCTCAACTCCTAGTCTCCCGCGTAATAACCCCTATAATAGTCCCCTATATAACCCCCTTTAAGGAGTTTAGACTATAGCTCATATGGGGATTATATAGGGATTATGTTCCCTTTATTCCCCACTGGGGACCAGTAAGTCTTTGCACATCCTGAAATCAACTACATGGAGCTCTGTGATTCAGGAGGAGGTGAGGAGCAAGAAGAAGAGGCTAATGTAGAACCTAGGGGTGTAATATTGGGGGGCTATTTATATAGGGATAATGGAAACTAAAATGGAAAGTACTATATCATGTAGGGTATAATATTGGAGTCATGTGGACCCCTGATTCATAAACCTCCTCCTTTTAAGGGCCTTAATATTAGAATCCCCATTATAATCTCTATTAAGGGGAGNNGAGGGGGTTTATGAATCACGTGTCTGAGTTACTGCAAATCTGCTGATGGTTACAGTAACGAGAACCAGGCTTCAAGAGGCTTTTACCAGCCACGGGGGGCCGTAAGCCGAAAAAACCCAGGCACTAATTGTTAGGGTTTTGGGTTTCGGCCCTAGCCCTCCTACCCAAAGAGGAGAATTCCAAAATCTGGCAAAAAGGCTCAACAGCAATCTGGAAGGCGAGGTGCCACAATGAGAATGCTTGCCAAGGCACTTGCAGGCATCCAAGTCATACTTGCACCCCGACACGACGTCTGCATCCATCTGGCAGCTGCTGTCGCTATAGAACCTCCGGGGATCCAAATACTTCTCAATGTGCAATAGGGTTTAGGGTTTAG